TCGATGTGCACAGAGGTTTTTTTGGCGTGAAAATAAACAAAGTTCTCATCCCGATGTCTACGAAATGAATGTGATGATATTTGGTGCTGTCTCATCACCTTCAATAGCCCAATTCGTCAAGAATAGGAATGCTGAAAAATTCGAGAGTCATTATCCTGGAATTATGAAGATAATGGAGAAGCAACATTACGTCGATGATTATTTGGATTCATTCGACAACGAGGATGCCGCGATCAACACTGCGAGTAAGTTCATCTTCAAGTTAGTTAGTAATTCAGCCGCCATAATTGCCTCGATTCCTGAGAATTTAAGAGCGCTGGAGCCAGACAATTTGAAAATTGATACGGGAAAAATCGAAAGAGTGTTGGGGCTCTCCTGGTCTCCAATAACGGATGAGTTTGTGTTTCGATTGAATTTGCATAAAATCGAGAAACAAATTTGGGATTGCCAAAAGATACCAACAAAACAGGATATTTTACGGGTCACAATGTCAATATTTGACCCTTTAGGATTTCTCGCTCCTATTATAGTTAAAGCTAGAATTCTCATGCAGAACATATGGAGAACTAATCTAGACTGGGATACGGAAATTGCTGATGGCCTCTTCGAATCATGGAAAGCGTGGTCGAATATTCACTTTGTAGATTCACACACATTCTGTGATGCGAGTGACGAGGCCTACGCTGCCGTTGCATTTTCCCGATTGAAGAGAGATTCTATAATTCAGACAACATTCGTGACATCAAAGTACGAAGTGGTCCCCCCTGAAACAACAAACTATCCCCAAATTAGAGCTTCAAGGAGCAGTATTAGCTTGCAGGATATAAAGATATATATGTACAGAGTTGGAGTATGAAATCAAGGAAATCCATAACTGGACTGATTCAATGGTCACAATCTGAATTTTATAACAATAAATACAAAGAGCTCAGAAGGAAAACAAAAGCAATGATCAGAAGGAAAGAAAGGAATTATATTTCAAGTGTACAAAACAATATCAGTGATGACGTCAACCAATTTTGGAAATATGTAAATACTAAGAGAAATAACAAAACGAACTTAGATAACTTTATTTACAAAGGAGATATAGTACCAACTGATAAAACTGCTGAAATATTCGCGAGCTTTTTCGAATCAGTTTATTGTGAAGAAAAATCGACGTACAAAATTACAAATAACGATAACATCAGTTTCTCCAACGATACGTTTCAAATAAAATCAATGAATGAGAATGATTATAACGATGCAATTAAGAAACTCAAACCTAAAAAAACATCGGGGACGGATGGAATGCCACCCTACATTCTAAAAGGCTGTCATGAGTGGTTGAGAACACCTTTGGTACATATTTATTATCTAATAATTACCTCTGGTAGTTATCCTGAGGTATGGAAAACATCTATGATTACGCCTATTTTTAAATCAGGTAATAAAATTGATGTGGAAAACTATAGGGCAATTTCAATTATGTGCGCACCATCCAAATTATTGGAGCAGATTATCTATACACAGTTGTACAATTTCACCAACAAATGCATAGTTTCTCAACAACATGGATTTGTAACACAAAAATCTATCAATAGTAACTTGTTTCTATATAGTAATAGAGTATTTGAAACCATGACAAGCAAAGCACAATTGGATACGATTTTTACTGATTTCCGCAAAGCCTTTGACCAAGTTAATCATGACATTCTCTTGGAAAAACTGAGTAGATTTGGGTTGTCACAGAACTTTATGGTACTTCTGAAGAGCTACTTGGAAAATAAATTTTTTCTGGTGAGGCACAATGGTAATAATGAAGTTTCATGCAAACTCAGGAGTACCACAGGGTTCTAATCTGGAGTGGAGTTATCGCAATACATTATTTTTTAATGTAAAAAAATGTTTTGTTTTAACTATAACGCGTTTGAGAAATGTTATTAAGCTTGATTACAGGATGGATAATGAGGATTCAATACGAAAAACTGAAGTCAAAGATTTGGGAGTAACTTACAACAATATATTTTTCTTCACGAATAATATATCGAAAATAATTAGGGATGCAAACCGTATTCAAGGTTTCCTAATCAGGCAAACAAGCAGCTTTAATAATATAGATACAATTAAATTACTCTATTACAGTTTGGAAAAACCTAAGCTAGAATTTGCTTCAGTAATTTGGATCGGCGAACCAATAACTATTTTGAAAGAAGTGGAAAAAATACAAAATGAATTCCTTCGATATTTAAATTTAAAAAAAAATCGCGAGTGGCCTAATTATGAAATAGTGCCCAAATTTCAGGAAAAGCTATTTCAAGAAGATGTTTCTCTTTCAAGCCGTGCTATGTTCCTCTCTCTTCATTGCTTTTTTAGAATTACCAAGTCAAACCAAGATTTTTTAAACCTCAATGTACCCATCCAAGTCAAAAGAACCATTGCGCAACTACGTCTTTGCAACAAATACATTATCAAATTCACGCTGAATGGCTCTACGTATAGAATTGATCCAAGAGAAATTTGTACAATATGTAACAAGAAAGAACTGGAAACTATAGAACATATGTTGTTTGAGTGTCCAATTTACTGTGCAATGAAACCCCAAGATTTCGACTATCTATCTATTCTTGACAATCTTATCTATTCCCTCGATAATATTTCCACAAAATCTGCCAAGGTTATATCCAACTATATCTGGAACATCTTGAAACTCCGTTCTTTCGTGATGAATGAATGAGTTTTCTCTCACTATTATGTACCACCTTTACTTTGATCAATCTTCTCACTTGTTTACCATTAGTATTGTATGTATTTTTTTTATGTTATTTTCTATATCCTCAATATCTTTTTTGCATCTAGTTATGTTCAATATTCATATATGTTTGCACCTATACTTTCGAACCCTTGCTATAAAATGTATATTTTTGAAGCAATAAATGTATTCTATTCTATTCTATTCTATTCTAGTGCGCACAACTCAATTAAGAAATGAATTTAAAATATTAGCTCTGGACCATAGAAGAAGCCTGGTAGCAGTAATGTTTCTATATAAGGTAATGAACAATAGAATGAATGCTCCTGAAATTTTGTCGTTGATTCCATTTAATGTACCATCTCGCAGAACTCGTTATACTGTACCTTTTAATACATCCTCTATTCGATTTCTATACACCTCAGGATGCAGATCTCCTCTAGCAACCATTTTAAAATTAGCCAACAACTTTGATGGATTATTAAACTTGGATTGGACACTGTCACCAACTGCCTTTTATAGATTAATTATTAGTCTTTTAATCAACATTTCCGCATAATTATAGTTGTTACAGCTTGGAAGATTGAAAACTACAATTATATTTTCACTAGTGTTTTTATTAATATTATTATTATTTTTACTATTAGTATTACACCTTCTTCGCATTCTCCTACAGTTCTGATAATATCTCTGGTCCATAATATTGTATTATAGTATTACTCAAATGTTAACATGTAAACTTATATAAGTTGATCCATGTAAATAGGCCAACAGGTTTGTAAGGACAAAAGAACAAATAAATAAATAAATAAATGGTAGTAGTAATAAATTAGATCTGAATCAAGAAGGTTTCCAGTTTCTGTATCGAGTCGTCTAGGAGAAATTCAGGAACAAAGTGAAGTTTCACAATGGCATTGGGTCCCTTCTGAAAAGAATGTAGCCGACCTAGCTACTAAAGAGCTGAAGTTTACAAGTTTCCACGAAGACAGTCCATGGTTCGAAGGTCTGATTTCCTGAGTGAAAGCCGTGATCATTGGCCCCATGAACCCGTGCTACATAGATGTCAGGAAGAACATCTGCTGTTTATAACGGTTACTGCAATTCGTGATTACTTACCTGATACCAGAAGGTTGTCTAAATGGACCAGGTTCATAAGATCTACGGGATGGTTGAGTAAGTAAAAACAGCGCTCAAAGTTACTTTGACTTCGATGAATCCCAAAGAGGAAGTACTTCCTACTTCACTAACAGAAATTGAATACATGGTTAATTCTAGACTACTCACACATAGATTCCGCGGAACCGGAAGCCATTACTCCTACATTAATCACTTCCTATTACTGAGACCAAGTGGAGTAATATCGTGTGGCAGTGACTCAAAATGTGGGCGTAAGCAATGGAGAAATGCACAGACGTTGGTGGATTTTTACTGAAGGCGATGGATTGAAGAATATCGACAAACATTAATTAAACGTTCCAAGTGGCATTCCAAAACCATACCACTGAGAGTTGGGGATATAGTTCTCATTGTTGACGATAAGTTGGCGAGAAATGAATGGTTGTTGGGTCGTGTGGAACAAGTATATCCTGGCAAAGACAATATTGTTCGGGTAGCCAAGTTGAAACCAACAAGGGAGTTTATACTCGAACAGTGACAAAATTATGTAATTTGCCTACATCAAGCGATTAATGGGTGAAGATATGATCTCTTCACGGAGGGGAGAATGTTGTATTCAGGAAATTGAATGACCTTATATGAATATTGTCGGTTGATGAACCCTATATCGTCGGATGAAAGTTGATTTGTTCAATATCCACTTTTTCCATAAAATGAGTTATCGACGAAAACATATTCCTAGTATTGAATTGTTCAATATCCCCATGAATTTATATGGATATATTCGCAATTTCAGTCATATTTCAGTTAAATTGTATCCAATATCCCATAATTTCAGATTTTTTGAGGGTATGTTTGTTCATTATCCGGATATTGAACAGTGCAACATGATAATTATGTTCGGTGTCCAACATCCATCAAATGCGTTAAAACCGATTTGTTCAATATCCACTTCGGCCAATAGTGAAACAGCACGTGCTCTTGTTATGACAGAGATAGGTAAAACATATTTGTTCAATATCCACTTTGGCCAATAGTGGAACAGGCTCCTATCACGTGCTCTTGTTATGATGACCTAATGAAATAACCTATAAACTTGAGTGTCGTTGCTTGTTTCATCGCTGATTAATGGACTGAATTTCATTATAGAAAAATGAATTATGTATACAGAAGGTGAGTTCTTTTTTATTCGAATAGTTCTGGCTAAACATTATTAAGTATAAACATTCACATCATTCTAGTGAGAGAGCGGAATGGTTACTATCATTGCGAAATCCATCATCACAACCGAATCGAGAAAATATACCGAATATTCGAATAGATGAAGTGAAGAAGAACTTGTTCTCGAATGATTCCAATTCCGAAGCAGGTATATACACTGTGGAAACGAAAAACTCTGGTAATATAACCGATGATGCTACCAAGAAAACTCTTGAGGGTAAGTTGTGTACTGAGTATACAATTTTGAAAATATCTGAGAAATAATATTTGTAAATTCTGAGGAGAATTCAGAGATACGTGTCTTTGATACATATCCTGAAGATATGACAACGGAAGGCACAATTGTAGTACAGGAACTCCTAGTGATCAACAATGAACTCATTCCTGTGCAAGAAAACCTCGAAGAAAACCAACCACTATTGGATGATTCAGAGTCAAGTGTATCAGAAAGCAGAAATGTTTTAGTAAACATCACTAATTCAGACCAGAAGGAAGTCATATCAGGAAAAAGGGTCCGCAAACGAAAGGCAACCCCTGAGACATGGAAAAAAAATATAAGAAAGAAAAAAAGAGAGACAGGGGAAGAATACGTTAATATTAAGGGTAAAACTTTCCAGAAACGTGCTGTTAGGGGTGGTTGTACACCAAAATGTTCTTTCAAGTGTGAAGATAAGTTCACACTTGAAGATAGACTTATGATTCATCAGCAATTTTGGCGACTCTCTGATAACAAAAAACCTCATTTCTTCAGCAAATTTGTAACACAACATAATGCAATAAGGAAACGAACAACTAAGGAATTGAGTAGAAAAAGTAATGTTTATCACTTTGAAACCATTAAGTCGAAATGCCGGGTGTGTAAAAGTTTTTTCCTGAATACCCTGGACATCAGTCAACAGAGAGTATATTATTTCTTTAAGAAAATTCAGAATAAGGAAACTGGTGTACCTCGCTCTCCAATGAGAGGAAGAAATGTGAAGAAGGTCACACCTCCTGATAAAATTCAGGAAATTCATGATCATATAAATTCTTTCCCCACTATCGATTCTCACTATTGCCGCTCTAGTACTAATAGGCAGTATTTGGAGTCAACATTGAATTTGTCCCGCATGTATGATTTATACAAAGGAAAATATGATAATCCACTCCCTATACATACATACAGACACATTTTTAACTCAGAGTTCAATATATCATTCTACAAACCTAAGAAGGACAGATGTGATAAATGTGAAGAATTCAAAGCAAAGAAGGATGTTGCAACTGATGAAGAGAAATTCGAACAGGAGGAACATTTGAGACGTAAAGAAGCAGGGTATATTGAAAGGAATAAGGACCGTGAGTTGAAAAAAATTGTTGAAGATGGTGAACAAACAGCTGTTATAACTTTCGATCTCCAAAATGTATACACACTTCCGAAAATTGGGGTGAAGAACTTTTACTATAAATGTAAATTGAACGTGTACAATCTAACAGCTCATTGCAATATCAATAACCAAGTTTACAATTGCATTTGGCATGAATGTAATGGCGGTCGAACCGGTAATGACTTGGCCAGTGCACTGGTCAAGATACTCGGAGGAATTGCTGATGATAACCCGTTTTTAACAAAGATAATTCTGTGGTCGGACAGTTGTGTTCCCCAGAATAAGAATTCATACATGACTATGGCTTTGAAATACTACTTAGATTCCCCGATGTGCAATTCCATCAGGATAATTGAACACAAATACGGTGAACCAGGTCACGGAAACGTGCAAGAAATAGATGTGGCGCACAGCATTATAGAAAAATTCCTCAGGAACGTAGAGATTGCTGTTAAAGCTTCCACAAAAAAAATATAAATTCAAAATTATTCAAATGCAACCTAATGATTTTCATGATTTTGGTCACACTGCATCAAATTTCGTTTTCACTCAAGTTCCATTTACTAAAATTAAACACATCATCTACAGGAAAAATGAAATCATGAATATCATTTACAGACAATCTTTTGAAGAAGACTTCATGACTGTACCAATCCATAGACGCATTGTTGGAAAAAATAGGAAGAAACAATCAGAAGTACCTTTGGTATTGCCAAAATTACCTCCGATAAAAAGAGACATAGCACTACCAGAACTCAAAATCAAACACCTAAATGAAATGCTCAAATACTTACCGGATCAGACTGATAGAACATTTTATCAATCTATATTGAAAAATGTATCTTCTAAAAAGAAGAACAAATAACAGAACTCAAATAAAAATTCATATTCATTTTGGTTTTTCATTATCCGAGATCATGTTGATGCAAAAAAATTGCTCTTTTCTGTGGAATTTTCAAATTGGGTCGATCATGATGTTTCAGTATTCAGTATAGTTGAAGGAATAAAAATAATCATGATTTCGAAATTGTTTTGTTCAACATCCTCTTCTTTGTTCAATATCCGATATTAATGAAGATATATTGAAATAATTGTTCAACATCCATTTTATTTTAGGTTATATAAACCTAAATAGTCATGCTAATCCTCATTTTTCCAATTATTCATTTCATTTCAAGCATTGGTCGATTATCCTAGTTATAGTAAAGTGCATATCGGGTTTTTGGACTTCACAACGAGCATTAAAACCTTTGCAAGCTCCTCCTGAAAAATTACAGTTATGGTCTATTGAACAAACCAACTTTCATGTGACGATATGTTGAATGTCACGTCAAAAAAGAATTTTTCCGTCGACCTCGTATTAACGACTAAGTTTAATGTATATGAAATCGTTCATTAATGACCCCTATTAATGGACGATTTGTCTATTAATGCACGATTGTTTTATAGGCAACCAAACATACACCGCGTGCATTCATTGTTTATGCTATAACTACTATAACTAGCGGAATCTGCATTTAAATCGAAAATATGGATTTCATCGACGATTTTCCGTTAATGGGTTCGCCTTTCCAAGTTTCTGACACGATTTTAATCCCTGTTTTCTAACAGAAGGAATTCATTTCCTATGTTGATCATTTCGACAAATGTCAAATGACACTAATGTCAGTAACAAGGCTACTGGGTGATTCTTAGCAGTTTCCGGATGGATGATGAATTCGAGAACCAAGTTTTCTTCATTGCAGGAGAAATGAGAAACATAGTCGACGGAAAAATTTTGTAACCAACTTGTATATTAAAAGGCGATTAATGATCTCGAACATTAACGCACTCGCTTCGCTCGCACGTTAAAATATCTCGATCATTAATCGTCCTCATTAATACACTAGTTGGTTAAATAACTATTAATTTTTGTGACAACTTGTCATTGAATAAAGGTATGATTTCCTACAATCCACTGAATTGTGATGGTGGATTTATGCAGCAGTCATAAGTCATAAATCATAAGTCATAAGTCATAAGTCACAAGGCTTATGTCACAAGAAAACCAAATGCCATTTAAGCAACATTGTCATATCATAAGGATATTATGTTTCATTGGTTGATTTCGAGCAAGCGCATTGAAATGTTAAATGTCATAATTATCAGCTGTCTAATTCTTGAGAACTGAGGATATATTTTTGAATTTTTTTTATATTCTGTATTTTTAGGAGAGTTGAGTTGATAGTTAATTCACAAAAATAATGGAAGACGAATTACTTACGATGTTGTTACTAACGTTGTTGACGACAACAACATTATATTTAATATTAAGTAAAGCAAGGAAACCTAAGCGATATGCTGTAAGACCAATCAATCGACAGCGGAAAGAAAAAGGAATGTTTGATAACGTTTTGCTGAATATGCTAAAGTTTGATCACGAAAGTTTCTTCAAGTATTGCAGGATGACCTCAAAACTTTTTCTACATCTGCTAAAATTAGTTGAGCCTCCTCTGCAGGAAGATAAATCAAAGCGCCCACTAGTTGTAGCTCAGCGTTTGATTATAACCCTACAGTTAGTATAATATTGGCAGTTAGGAATATGTTTTGTAATAATTCATAATTTGCTCTAGTTACTTGGCTGAAGGATGTTCAATGCAAGAACTGGCTTGGGGACATATGATAGGGCATTCCACTGTATGGAAAATTATTCATGAGACCACTCAAGTATTATGGGATGTTCTATCACCCATTCACCTGAAACCGCCCTCATCAGCAGAAGAATGGATAAACATATCAAATGGGTTTTACAACAGATGGAACATGCCCAACTGTGTAGAAGCTATTGATGGGAAGCATATAAGTATCCAGGCACCATATCATGGGGGTTCCCAATACTTCAACTATAAAAAACATCACAGCATTGTCTTAATGGCAAGTTGTGATGCTTTTTATAGGTTCACTGCTGTTGATGTAGGTGCAGCTAGCAGTAACCATGATTCCACAGTGTTTAAGGAATCTGGTTTTGGACATGCTGTACTAAAAAACAAATGTGGATTGCCCCCAAATCGTCAACTGCCGAAAACGAATACCATTTTGCCTTTCTTTTTTGTTGCTGATGCTGCCTTTCCCTTGAACCAAAATATTATGAGGCCATATCCTGGAGAAAATATTCCTGAGAAGAATCGCATTTTCAATTACCGTCTGTCAAGGGCTAGACGAACTATAGAGAATACTTTTGGGGTATTGGTGTAAAGGTGGAGAATTTTAAGAAAGCCAATTGTTGCTGATGTGGTTACTGCCGAAAAAATAACATTAGCAACAGTTGTATTACACACTTTTATCCAAAGGGCTGAAGAAGATATTCCTGAAGCAGAAAGATATTACTCGCCAACAGGATATGTAGATTCTCAATGTTCTAATGGCAAAATTATACCAGGAGCATGGAGAAATGAAAATTTGAATATTAGAAGTGTTGGCCGCTTAGGAGCAAACAATTTTCAAGCTAGTGTTAGAGCAAATAGGGACACATTAACTGATTATTTCAATAGCAATGAAGGTAGTGTGCCATGGCAAGAAGATATCATTCTGAGAGGATCATTACCAGATAACTTCTAAACTTGATACCAACAGTATTTAGTTTTATTAATCTATTGAAAACCATCTTTCAAGTCAGTAATTCTTGTAGTGTTTTTTATGATACCTGGATTCAAATACCAGGATACAAATATTGACCTTATCTTTAGCTAATGGATTGAAAGGATTTTAAAACAAAAATTTATTCTTACAAAAAAATATAAAATACATCATGACAAGAAATGAAACATACTATCCTTAAATGAAAAAAATAAATTAGGACAACATATTATGACTTTGCCTCATGGATTATAGCTAAAATTTTTTGCTTTGCAAGAAAATTCTTATGCACATCAGTAATGGTGGCCATTTCTAGGCCCACCATTTTTACAAATAGTATGTCTGGGTTCTCTGTTTTTTCCAAATCATCATTTTTATTTTCAGAATATGGTCGAATTTGCTCCAAGCATCACTCATTGTTTGAGCCGAGTTTGTTTCCTGGATATTCTTCCTCCTTTTGCAGTGCCTTTCATTTCGCAATATTGAAATATTTGGTGTCCACTCTGTGGTATCTGCTTGTTTTCTTTTATTTGGTGTGCACCTACTTTCTGTATTTTCTGCCAGAGATGAGTTGCCAGCCACTGTATTTGTGTCAACAAATTCTCCTTCCATGGCAATCTCCTCCTCTGATTCCTGGACAGATTCTTGACTCTCTTGGGAATCTTGAGTCTCGTCTTGGGTCTGGAGAAGGATTTTCTTCAGATTTTGAAGAACCAGGTTTTGGCGACTCATCACAGGAGACCATTTTCGGCACATTACCTTGGGTCCTACAAACGTTTTGATAATGATTTAATATGCAATCACAATTGAAACAAACTATGCATACTTTCGTCTTCGAACATGGTCTGAAAGAAAGCTGATTTCATCTAGCCAAAGCCATGGTTTTATGTCAGCACCAGATCCAGAAGGTATTGTCCTATTTTTTTTCGATTCCCTGCTGAATATTTGCCTCAATGTCGTCCATCGGTCTCTACATTGATCAGCTATAATGTTGAACAGATGCTATATTTAATAGGAATAAATTATAGAAATAATACTTCACCTGGTACGTTCATAACTGATGATATGGATTTCCATGCATTATATTTTTGTTCGTTGTTTCTGAAGTCCTTATTTTTGGGGTCATAAAGAATTGAAAAATGTCTGACCAATTCTATCAACTGACCATCATCTATCATTTTAGATTCAAAATATTTTCAGAAATACAGGAAAATTTCACTCAACTAAATGTTTCGAAAATAATGAAAGAACTGAGCAAGTTTGAAATTAATGACAGAATTCACAGAGCACAGAGCGTGAAATTCTTCATACACATGCGCAATGTAACTTTGTCATAAGTCTTCAGTCATAAAAGATGAATGTTGGCCTACTTTCCTTATGACTTCAGACTTATGACAGAAACTTAAGACTTATGACAAAGTGTATAAACATTCTCGTAGAAAATCGAATCTTGAACTTTCTTATGACTTATGACTGCTGCATAAATCCACCAAAAACAACACTGACTGTTGGACAACAATTCATCATTCTGAATTTGTTCAATGGAAACGGCTGAATCTGAATCCTTGTAACGTATATTATACAATTACAATGCGCCGGCAGCTTTTCATCGGCGGCATATGGGCGTGGATTTTTGAATTTGCTATCCTGATAGATCACAAAGTAAAATTTACAGAAAAGTTCCAAAATTATCAATTTGATATAAAGAAATGTCAAATTTATATTTTAATGGACGTCAGTGGAGGGGCTATGTATGTACCAGCCCAAGCCAGTCAGAGACCAGCATTTGGTTGGAGGCCATGTCCACTAAAAACCGGCGCGAAATTCAAATTATTCATACATAGTCACGTCGCCATCGTGAA